CAGAATATTTCGAACCATTTTACATGATCCGAAAATTTCATATTTTATTCTCTATATGTTTCGGAAGTTTCGCTACAACATATATAATTGTCATAATTGGCTATTTATATACATACTTTATTTTAAACGCAACATATATATGTGTTGTAATAATTACTACATGTAGTAATTTATACGTAGTAATTATTACATGTCGTAATTATTATGACATGCCATAATTATTACGACATGTCATAATTATTATGACATGTCATAATAATTACGACATGTAATAATAATTATAACATGTCATAATATTATGATATATAAAAATAATTATGACAATTATGGTTTTAAAAAGTCTGTGTAAAAATATATGTCATAAATATAATTGCTATAATTGGCTATTTACGGCACCAATCACTACCTCACCTATTTTGCAAAACTCTATATATCAAAAACGTATAGTTATTTTCAAGACTTAGAGTCTGCATATAAGCAGTCTCAGTTCTTGCGTTGCCAAAATTTAATCACAAAATTAGTATTTAGTATAACATATATACAAGTTCCAGGAAATTTCTTTAAAATACATAAAGTAATTACAAATGTAGCCTTATATACCCAGTGCTTTCAAACAGGCCTGTTTGCTCTCATTACCACAAGCACTAATACCATTAGTATGTCCACTTCTTCGGCCAAAAACATGCTTGATTATCTAAAAGATAATCAAAAGAAGAGTATTCTAATTAGAGTTGATTTCTTTAAGGGAGATAGTACCCAAGATCTCCTAACATGGATGGAAAATTTCGAAAAGGCTAGTGTTCAAAGATAAGCCGGCTTATCACAGCTTGCTGCGGCTTAATGCGGCTTATCACGTGATAAATTCGAAATTATCACCCAACTATGTGATATATTCGAATTTATCATGTGATATTTTCGCGATTATCACATGGCTTGGTGATAAATTCGAATTTATCACATGATAAGCCGCATTAAGCCGCAGCAAGCTGTGATAAGCCGGCTTGTCTTTGAACACTAGAAAAGGCCGCTACTGCCAATAACTGGAATGAAAAGCAGATGAGACAAATCTTGTCAGTCTTTATGTGTAACATTGTGGATGATTAGCAGCTAACATACTATAAAACCAATGCGGCAACTACTAATGCATCAACTGATTGAAACACTACAAAGAAAGCATTCAAGAAGCATTTCTGCAACCAATGTTAAAAAAACGTATAGAGACAAGAAATAAATGCTTTAAAACAGTTACCTGAGGAATCTGTCAATATATTCTATGGCCATTTTAAAAAAATAGTGGACCGGGTTGGGATTGATACTGCCTTATCACCGGAAGACCAGTTTTATTACTTTAAAAAGGGTCTAAGGTCAGATATGTTGCCCATAATATTGATACACAAACCCGCTATAGTAGAGACAACCTTAAAGTTAGGTCAGACCAATTTGATTCTCGGTTTAACATAATCCCCCCTCTATTTTTTAAAATTTTGTATGTAAAAAAATCACTATTTTGGCAATCAAATTGTAATATTAACTTTTTGTATTTTTACATTTTTTATAGCCAATAGAATTGTTGTATTTTTTATTTTTGTTTTTTTTTAATGCCCTCCCCCCACTCTCATAAGCGACCTTTATGTTATGTTAAACAGAAAATTAAATTGGAGTGGCCTTAGCTAGGCACCATGAACATGTGACCAACTTTGTTTACAACACAAATCTAAGCCAACCTTCTGGATCTAAAACCTATGAAAAACAAATAGAACAATTGACAAAGCAGATGGAACAAATGAGTCTAAATTATGCTACTATTGCTTCAGCATTGTTGGCTCAGGCAAAAAAAAGGATACAGTAAAATTAACTTCGCCTTTGCAAAAGAAGAACATGACTTGCTTTAGGTGCAGCAAAGTAGGTCACTTCACAAACAAGTGTATGTCTGAAAACTAAAGGAAATGTTGTACCAAGTTCTTAAGAAACTTAATAATGATAACAACAATAAAAACATCAACCTAATAGACTTAGTAGAGAAAGATGATATAGAAGAGCTTTATATATATCGGTCCTAACTTTATAGCACTAATAGGAAAGAACAAAAAGAGAAACAAAAACAAGCAAAAGTTCAAAAAGAACAGAGCTTACCAATTAAAGTACCTATGAACCTAGTGCAAGATATAGAAAACCCAATAGAATTTGAGAACACCCTAGTGAAAAAGATAGTGAAGAAAAGATTGTCTTTTGAAATTGATAGGCTCAAGCCTTATAATATTGCTGAAGATTTGTTGTCCATGCTAGCCAAAGCCACATTAGAACAACTATTGCAATATTCTAACCAAAGAAGAAATTTGGCTAAGATACTTAGAAGGAAAAAGGCACTAAATACAGAAGCCAATCTGATCAATGCCAAAGATAATTGAAAGACCATCGCTATGAGATGTTTTGTGCATATCAAAAAGAACCCTGTTGTAGCTATCCTAGACTCTAGTGCTGCTATAAGCATTATTACCAGGAAATTAATAGAAGAGTTAGGGTTAAAAATAGACAAACCCTCTAAGACTGTTGTTATCACAGCCAATGGAAATAGAATGAAGACATTAAAAATTATTAGTGAAGTTAAAATAGTCCTCCAAGACTTACTTATACTCATAGACCTGCAGGTAATTGATTCCCAAGAAAAGACTTTACTCCTAGGACAGATTGGTTTGACAAGTCCCGCGCTAAGCTAGACTTTGATAACAATACTTTGAATGTAAAATACCTGGGTAAGCAGGTAATAGTAAATGTGACCCATATTAGTAGCAACAGCTACTATCAAGAACTAGAAGAGTTTATAGACGAAGAAGACTGGCTAGATAAACTGGAACAAGATAAAGAGGCTCAGCAAGTCTTAATAGTGATATATCTTTTGAAGAGGAAGAAAACTTATATTACAACCCATGGACAAAGGATAATCCAGCTATCTATCTAACTAAAACAATCCAAGAAAAACAAAAAAAAGATACAAGGGCATTTGAGGTAAACCCAAACCTCAATAATCAACAACTACAACAAGCTGAAGACTTGTTGGTAAAGAATGCGAAAGCTTTGCAGAGAAAATTAGCAAAAATAAGCAAACAGTTGGCCTAGGGCAGACCAACTTGGTGTGCCATGAAATAGAAACAGGCTGTACAAGGCCTATTAAACAACATCCATACACAGTGGCACGTGATGAACAAGAATTTCTCAAAGACGAAATTCTGGCTATGGAGGAACAAGGCATCATATTTCTAATCAAGAGCCCCAGTGGTTCTAGTATCCAAAAAGAATGGAAAAAAGAGAATATATATTGATTACTATAAGTTAAATATGGTTACAGAAAAAGATATATATTCCTTACCAAATATCAATGAAGTTCTATTGGAATTCAAAGGAGCCAAGTGGTTTACCAGCTTGGACTTGGCTAGTGGATACTGGCAGGTGGCTGTTAGAGAAGAAGATAAGAAGAAGACAGCCTTTATAACCAAGTTTGGCACTTAGGTGTTCAATGTAATGCTATTTGGTTTGTGCAATATGCCTTCAACCTTTCAAAGGCTAATGAACAACATTTTGGACCTGTTTATTAACAAATTCGTTATCGTTTAGCTAGACAACATCGTTATTTACTCAAAGATGTTCCAAGAACACCTGGAACATCTACAACAAGTCTTTGACAAAATTAGAGAGGCTAAGTTAAAATGTAATTTAAAAAAATATTTATTTTTCTAAATAATATAAAATTTTTGGATCATATAGTTAGTGACCAAGGGATTTATCTGGACAAGGAAAAACTGGAGAAAATACAAAACTTTTCTATACCAATGATGTTGAAACAAGTACGATCGTTTTTGGGACTTGAATCCTATTACCAAAGATTCATCAAAGGGTTTTCAAAAATAGCCAAACCCCTCAATAAATTGCTAAACAGAGATGAGCCTTATCACTAGATAGAAGACCAAGATAAAGCTTTCTAGACATTAAAGAATTATTTGGTGATGGCTCCAATTTTAAGATATCCCGACTATAGCAAGCCATTCTACCTATATATGGATGCATCCATCTCTGGGTTAGGTGCTGTTCTGGCTCAACTAGACGAGAACAGCAAAGAATATGCTGTTGCCTACGCTAGTAGAAGTGTATTTAAGACAGAATAAAATTATTCCATCCCAGAGTTAGAATGTTTGGCTGTAATTTGGGCAGTCGAACATTTTCATCAATATTTGGATGCTAAACTCTTTTACCTTATCACCAACCACTCAGCCCTGCAGTAGTTAAGAATTTCTGAACTTAAAGAAAAGCATGCCAGATAGATTATGAGATTAAAGCCATATAATTTCACAATTATACACCACCCCGGCCAGAAACACAGTAATGCCGACACCCTATCAAGAATGTATACTCAAGAAAAAGAAGATTAGCAAGAAGTATACATAGTAAAATCTGAAGATAATGAATTTGTGAAAAGCAAAATCACAATAAAATTTGTGGAAACTCAATTTACACCCACTGATGATAAAAGTGAAGCCTCCTCACAAGAATTAGAAGCACTGGAAATCAGAGTTGGTAAATGACCTGAAATAACCCAAATAACCCAAATGACAAATGACTAGTCATTGGCTATTTCAAAACCTAAATGAAATTAGAAGGTCATTTAATATATGTTAGTTAATATTCTAATATTTTTTAACCAATTAGAATTGGCCGCCAAACAAAATTAAATTTTATAAAAATATTATATAAGCATTTCAACCAATAAAATTATTTTATATGCAAATGACCAAAATAACCAGATGACCCAAATGACCTGGTCATTATTTAATAACTTGAGGTCATTTAAATTTTGATCAAATGACCAGGTTATTTACCAACCCTGCCAGGAATAATTAGGCGAATTAATAAAAGGCTAGTAAAAAAAATCTGAAGAGAAATAGTAAGGAAAACCTTAAGTTACAATTTACCTAAAGGTTTGATAGAGTACCTCTGTTTATATGAAGATGTTAAGTTTACTCAAAAGGGAATCTACTATGAACAACAACACTGTACTTGGTATTATATCAAGTATATCAGTGATTGATTAAAACAAAAAACCAAATATAAACACTTAACAAGAGACTGGAAAGAACCTACAGCCCAATGTTGTTGCGGTAATAAATTATATTTACCACCTGATGAATGTGGTAAGTGCCTTAGTAATTTAAAACTATGAATCACTCTAAAAAAATATCTTGTTGATAAAATTGTTAAAAGTTATTGGAAAACTCCAACCGATGAAGAATCTATGAACTACTACCACAAAAATAATTATATGAGGAGCGATGATTAAACCATCAATAGCTTCACTGGAAGTAGTATCAACCTCATTAATGATACTCCAATAGAATTATGGGAAAGTAACAGCATTAGCGAAAACTTATTGCTGGACTTCACTGATAAAAATAAGGGAAACACAATATTATTCCCAACAGAAGATTTGGCTGACTTACCCTGGTAGATAGAATTCACGAAAAGACTATCAGACTATTATTATCAAGAGTTTAACAATTTTTCAGATACTTATCTCTGTAATTCCAATTGGTGAAAAACTGCCAATGCAGTTAAATACCTTTAGAGGTACAACTCAAACCACAAATATCCGTCCACAAAAGACGAAAAACTTTTCAGGTTGGTTCCTGTTACTATTATTACAACTTCCAGAACATTACAAACTGGAAGTAAAATTAGACAAAATAAATAAATAACAATCAATAACTATATTTAAAAATTAAAAAAATGGATCCAATTAAATACCGGCAGATTGGTAACTAAATCAACTCTTTCTGACAATCATCTGTACCAAAAATCCAAACACATTTTTTTGTAAAAAACACAATAGCACTTAGTAAAAAATAGAGGCACACTACTAGCTATAAGTCAGCAGTTGTTATTTAGAGGTAGTTCTCATATGCTACTTGCTAACTTCTTCAGAGTTTATCACTCACTGCTTGCATGGCACTTGTTGTTTAGAAGTAGTTCTCATACGCTACTTGCCGACAAGCCCAGAGTTTATCACTCACCGAAAAGAAAGTATAGGTGCCTACCCCTTTCTTAGAAGAAGGTTAAGGAGTGGTTGAGTCTTTACATGGATATAACTACTTTCCTTGATACAAGTGGTCTCTTTCTAGATATTTTTCGCTTGGCCGGTCTTCTCCAAATTTTTCGACAAAAAGTGGGTGATTTGGCTTACTTCTCCAAAAGATCAGCATTGTTTACCTTCCAAATTCAGATGTACCCAGGAATGCAACCACGTGCTTTGTTTATCAGTGGATATGTTACGTGACGTAATCTATGGATACAGGTCCTCCACGTGACTGGGATTGGGTCTCTGGCATAAGAGGCATCTGGAAGTGGCTGGTAGTCAGATATTAAGTTCTTATATTGTAATCGAGATATACAAATGTTGTAGTTGTTGTGGAATTTTTTCTTAAACCTGGCACGGGTTATAGTAGTGCATTTTTTTTTCTTGTTTTGTTTTTTTTTATCTCGTTCCCCTTATGCTATTTCTTTATAGAGGTAGTTCTTCCTTTGTAAGCCCTTGGGCTTTTCTCTTTGTGTTTCTTTTTTTTACATCTCACTGTACCCTCCTTTTTCTTTCCTTTAAAATACTCCTTTGTTCTATATATTTTTTTTAGTTAGGTTTTCATTTTGTTTTCTTGGTAGTATTGGTGGTTTTGTATAAGATCATTACTTTCTTTTGCTCTTGGTAAAGAAAGGAGATATGAAGGGATGGGCTAACAAAGTTTATCTAACTTGTATACAGGTTGTTGTGACAAGTTGCATATGGGCACGTTTATCACAGCCAGATGATGTCAGGCTCGCTATCGTGGTAACTCCCTGTTTGTGGTTATAAATGATACATGTATTGTTCGAGAGAGCTTAGCTTTCACCTAAATATAGTTGCAATAAATTGAGTACTGGCAAAACTGTCAAAGATTTAAAAAAAAAAAAAAATACTAGCAGATTAAACAATTCTTAGAAACAGTACAATACCCACACCAATAAATAGTCAAGAAAAAAGACAATTAAAAGCCCAAAGCAAGTTTTATATCTTACATAATCAATTACTCTATAAGAGAAATAGAAGAAAACAAACAAAGAATCAATTATTGTGCATAGTACAACAACATGAAAAGGAAGTCATTTTATACATTACTCATACCCATCCACTAGGAGCCTATCTTGGCATGGAAAAGACCTTCAAAAAGATAAAGACCTGATATTATTGGCCTCAGATGTACGACTATGTGAAAGAGTACATCAAGACCTGTAATATATGTCAAAAGCATAGAAAGTACAGAACTCGTGGCCCCTTGCAAACTATATCTGTCAAAGCGCTATTCCACAAAATTGGCATAGATTTCATGAGGCCAGTGGACCTAACTACAAAAGGAAACAAATATATAATTATGGCAGTTGATTATATGACCAAATAGCCAGAAGCAAAAGCAGTACCTGTCACTGATACTCAACAGACCACACGATTCATCTTTGATGAAATTGTGTATAGATATGGATGTCCTGCTTACTTGATATCTAATAGAGATCTGCATTTTAACAATGAAGTAATAAGATTTTTGATTAGTAACTTTGAAATCAAACACTTAATGTCAACCCCATACCACCCACAAACGAATAGGTTGGTAAAAAGGTACAACCATACCTTATGTAAATCCTTGGCAAAATTGATCAAACAAGAGCAAGAGTGGGACACTCTTATACCCTCAGTGCTTTATGTCTATAGGACTAGTAAACAGTTCACAACTAAATTTACTCCATTCTATTTGACCTACAGAAGAGAAGCCCGATTCCCGAACTTCCAGAAAGAAAATGACATTTAAGAAATTATGGTCGACTGATTAACCATGATCATTGACAACCTACCTAAGAAAAGAGAAGTTGCGAAAACAAATGTCAGAAAAGCCCAAAATAGGCAAATGTTTTACTGGGACAGAAAGCTAAAACAAGTGCTAAGAATCTTTCAGAATGGAGATAAGGTACTTTTATTTGACGCCGCTCAAATAGGGTGTCATACTGGAAAATTCTTACCATGGTAGCTTGGACCTTTTGTTATACATAATCATGTTGCACAAGATGTGTACTGATTATGTACGTTAGAAAGTCAAATTCTCAATGTACTACGAAATGCTCTACTTCTGAAGAGATATTATGAAAGGTTTATTTGATGCAGATGCATCAAATTAGCAAATTCAAAAAGCATTGCAGAAAATTAATACAATTGCTCTTTTGAAAGTACTTGCTATGGGTCGCTGGCCTTATATGCCAAAGATTTAAGGTAGTATCATCGGCTGATGCTGGTGATGCCAATGGTGCATTTATAGAGAGTAGTTGTCATTTACAACCCAAAAATTATTATAGAATACTCATACACGGAGCTTGTCATTAGTTGGGAAGAAATTGTTACATTAGAAAATCGGGTTTTTGTTAGTTCCCGGAAGCTGCAGTATGCATGCCCTAAAGGTGCATGATCTGCAAAATAATGTGTAAGTTAAAGGTGCAGAATACATCGCATCTTGTAAATAACAGCAAAACTAATTTAGAGGTTCACTTGGAGTAAAATAAATTAGAGAATGTATTAGATAAAAATAGAAAGAACCAACAAAAAGAATGGAGTAGAAATAGATACTTCCCACAAAACATGTATAAAAAGCCCTTGCTTTTCTTTTACTTTTAGGGAGAACTTCCTTAGTATAGAATTCTCACTCTTAGAATAGTATTTTCTTATTTCTTTTGTATTAGTTACTTGTCTTCATACACGTTAAATTTTCTTATTTTTCTCTAATAAAAACTTAATGAACGTTATCATGTGACCACGTGACTTGACGTCCATTGTTAACCGAATTGTTAGTAAAACATACAATACAAACTAATATATCCTTATATATACAGTCAACTCTGGATATAACGAACCTTTTTATAACGAACTCTGGATATAACGAACTCAAACTTTCTAAA